AAAATTAACCCAACCTTACCAATAAAATTTTGATCCAATCAGATCACTTTTTATATAAAAACTCACTCAACTTAACGCATGAACACCCCTAATTATTATAAAAAAAAAAAGCATGCTTTTCTGTAAAATCATTCAAATTAGTCTCAAACATTAATTTTTCCTTAAATATTTACTTAAGTATCTGAGTGACATGATAAGGAATAAATATAAAAAGTTTAAAAGCCCACAGAAATCAAGTGAAGCTTAAACACATACAGGAAATAATTAACAAAATAAAAAAAATTCCAAGAACAAGTTCATTCCGCAGTTTGCGAAATACCCATAAGATTACTGTTACTGCAGCAAGAAAATCACATTCCATGTATGAGTTAGGAAGCCAATCTAGCTGGCTGCTGATGTTATTAAGAAGTTCAATGTTATGTTATTCTAAGATTTTCCCCTCCCTACTCCCCACTTTCACAGTTCAAATGCTGTGTGCTTACGGCAGCCATGGCTTGGAATTAATCCTCTCTTACTCATGTTTTCAAAAGTAACATGCTTTATAACCAGAGTCAATATAACTAGAAAAGGAGATATTTTCATAATGAATCTCTTTCTATACTTTTTAACCTCTCTAAACTAGAGAATAGGGTGCTAATTGACGTTAGTCTATGTTTTAATGTAAATCGACGTTTTTTTATTCTTTTATTACGCCATAAATCATGTCAACAGAACATATAAATCACTGAATATAATATGAAGTAAACTCACTATATACTGGTCGCAAGATAAACTCACCAACAACTATATCAAATACTATAACCAAAATAGTTGGGTTAGTTGGTTGGTATAACTAGCTAGATCCTTTAATCATGTTAATTAAGAGCTTAATTTTTAATTTTATGAATAAAAAAATTCATTAGGGAGTGGTAAAATATATTTCAATAACCTCTACGATTAAAAGAAATTATTCTCTAATTATGACCTAAAAACAATATCATTGGTGCACCCAAAAAATTTAAAAGAAAGTCCATACTAATTAATAATATAAAACATTGTATTAACATTTGATATATATCAATATTCTATACTAACTAAATTATTTATTAAATTTAATATAAAATATCATATTACTAGTACAAACTCGTAATACTTTTATTGATAGTTTAACATTATTAGACAAAAGATATATTAGTAGATTTTCATTTTATATTAAATTGTTAGTTCAAATTTTAAAAATCTTAATCCGCTTCTATTTATGGTAGTTGCTTGTATTTTTTTCACTTTTTTTATTAAAAATAAAATTATAATGAACTAGTCAATAATTTGGACTGACTTAAACTTGTCATTTGATAAAATGTATGGCTTAGATTTTAAATTTTAAAATCAAATTAAATCTAGACTTTTATAAATTAATTTGATTGATGCCAGGCTAAACTTAAAAAACTCGAAAAAGTTAAAACTTTGCAGAATTTAAATATTATTTTATAAATCTAAATTAGATTCAGGGTATTTTTAGTCAAATGCTAAAATTCACAGTTAATCATATCAAACCTTGAGTAACCTTTTTTACTAGTTCTATTTCAAGTTCTGTCGCTACGTTAACGAGTTACATATGTAATTTTAAACCAATTGATGCATTACCTATCTGCTATTGACATTTTATCTGTTCTCTATTGACTGCAAAAGTGTATAAAAATTGGACAGCTGAAGATTTTATGTTTTGTTCTTTAAAACATATATCTTGATTTGTTATAATCGATCTTATACTCGTTCATTTAAATTTACATTAAAAAAATTCCTTTATCAAACCAAATCCTAAACAACAAGATCAAATTCAGACATGATATGAAATATGAATCTTCTTCAATAATATATTATTAAAAAATTCAAGCAGAAGAAGAAACTCAAACAATTCCCATATCCACCGATGATTTTCCATTCAAGAAAATCTTCTATGTGGATACCATCATATAATTAAGATATTGCGTCACTTCTACTTGCATTCATGTAATCAACTAAAAGCTAACTTGTATATTTAATTATTGGCTTCAAGCACTTTAGTGAGAATCCCACTGATCAACATAAGTAATATATATCAAGCAAAATTTCAGTGGGTTGTGTCGTGGAGTTAACTCGGTCTATTTAGAATTGAGTTGATGACGGAGGAATTTACACACTATACTCAACCAAAAATTCAATCTTAAAAACATATATTTAAATTTTTATCTCAGTAAAGTTTAAAGTTTAATCGATGAGTGTCAAGTGTCAACTTTTCTCATTAAGAAATGGTTTTCTAGAAACCCTAGGCATGCCACAACATAACTCTATCCATGTTAAACAACTTAAGCCGAAAGAGAATTTGCTGAATTTAAAAACTCTTAACCTGACCCCACATCAATCCTAAAACCTTGATCATAATCTATATTGAAAAGACACCCAAAAAGAACAGAACTATACATATAAAAACACACAAAGCAAATTGTTAACAGTACAAGGAATCATATGTGATCCTCTCTCTCACCTTTTCTTTTAAAATGGTTCTTTTTAGTGCACGTACATGCTTAGTTATTAACCTACTTGTCTTAGTAGAACAGGTATATATGTAGCCATTTACCAGAAGCTATCGAATGTAAATAAAGATATATTTGTAGCCGTCCTTTTAAAATCGATCTTTTGAAGTTTATATATATACACTGCAGAAAATTACCATTTATTAAAACAAAACATTATTAATTGTAGACTTTGTCTATATATATATGTTAAAAAATATATATGCATTAAAAAACCTTAATTTAACAATCAAAACGATAAAAATATCATAGTGTCACATTTGTTTATACTTTTTGTAGTTCAAATAATCTCACCCTTAAGTTAGACATTGAGTTTATATGACCAGTTTATTTATTTTTAGATTTTTTAAATAATTTTTTACTTTATTTTTTATTAATGTTTTATATTTAAAAGAACTAAATTAGTGGATATCATTTTTCAAAACGAGGGATTAATAAAAAGCTTTTGAAACCTTAAGAACAAAAATATATAACCCATACAATTTTAAATTTAAGACTAACTAAAGGGTTTATTTTTATTTCTTAATTTAATATTCACTTTTTCAATTATTGTTATTATGTGTTTGGAGTCTTTAATTTGTGTTTGAATATACTCGATTTTGTAAAATTAATTTTATTTTAAAGTAAGTTTAAAATGACATAATTTATATCTGTAATTTTTTTCTTAAAATAAATGTGTACTAAAATTCAGTAAAAAAATTTCAACATTGTTGGGTCAGATTTAATTTCAAAAGAAAAATTAGTTTTGGTTAAAAATAGCTAAATATAATATTTTTATATAAAACTATATTATAATAAAGTAAACACAATTCTATGACAATGTAATATTTGTAATTTATGTAAAATCAATGTGAATTCAGTCACACGTAATAAACTACTGGTAATGTAATCCTACGTCCTCTGCAATCTTTTATTTATTTATTTTTATCGATGCTACATGAAAATAAAAGAAATGATACTTCTTATATTAATTACGTTGTTTGTTTTTATTTGATGTATTTTGAGGGACGGAGATCGTCATCCGTTTAAGAACAGTACGTACGGATCTCAGCTATGAAAAATGATTTACTTTGATAATAAAAGAGGAAAAGAAAGCATAACTCAATAATGAGCCATTGAGTTAGAAATTACGCATCATGCAGTTGCTTTTTAGCAAACTGAAGAAGACCCAATCTCACTTTTGAAATATTACCGTATCTTAAGGTTTAGTGTTATATCAGGTACTTCATTACGTTTTTCAAGGGATTTCCTATGTGAATGTGACAAGAAAAAAGCTAAAAGCAACGATAAAAGAGAAGACCCATAAAATATAATGAAAGACAAAAACGAAAACTTTTAATTTCACAAAGTATGGTTTATTCATCCTTAAATAAATAAAAATACATATCTTATTAAAGAAAAAACAAAACACTTTACACTCCATAATTACATAAAATAAAGGTTAACATTCTCTTGTCACTGCATGAAAGATCTTGGATTTATATTAAATAAAATGACTGTTTAATAACAAGAAAGACTTCATGGCTCCAGCAGTCCACCAGCACCATCTTTCCAAAAATATGATCACAAGACAACACCTGTCACCTTAGATGACGTTCAAAGCATAGCCATAATATTTTATGATCACACAATACTCAAAATGGTATCCAACAATATTATAATTTAATGCAATTTTAAAGTTTATAAACGCCCTTGAGAAGTAAGCAAATCCAACAGCTGGGGAAAGACCATTAGTTCTTTTGTAATTTCAAGTTTTAAAAATCCCCACCACTCATCAATATTTTATGTGTCAACCTTGGATTATGCCTCTCAGCATGTGGCTGTGTCCAGGTGCATAGGCCCTAGTTCACAGGTGTCCCCAGGCAACTAGAATTCTCTTTTATCTTTTATCTCATTTTGGCATCTACCTTAATATAATCTATTTTGTTTTAGATTCCTAGTCATGTAACCTAATAGCTCAACACATTCTTGAACTTCCAAATTTGCCCTTTTGTTAAAATACCATGTTTTTCCATCATTGATTGATCTCAATCTTCCAACCCCTTCATTGGCACAATATTTTGCTTTTGGGGAAGTGGATTTTGCTTTGAAGTGAGACCAATCACAAGGGAAAGAACAATGTTAAGTATTAACCAAATGTAAATAAAATATAAAAAGGGTAAAGGTAATTTGGTCAATTTGCACTCGATGGACAAGCATGCAAGCATTTTTAGTGTCACTTTAGACCCTTTTGTTTATTTATGTTGATTTTTTAAACAATGTTACCCGTAGTACCTTAAACAGTGAAATGGATAGAGATCATAAGAAAGTGACCTTTGATTGACCGATAGAATCAAGTTAGGGGCAGAAGTGCATGTATAAATATGCAACAAACACTGGACACAAATCAGTGCCACATAAATTGGAAGACAAAACTTTATCCAAGTAAGAACTTTGAAGCCTTTTTGCATGTATTGGGGGGGAGTTATGTCAGGCCATATGGGTCGGGGTGTCATAGAGGAAGAGGTGTGGAGGAAGGGACCTTGGACTGCTGAAGAGGACAGGTTGCTAAATGAGTATGTAAGGCTGCATGGTGAAGGTAGATGGAACTCAGTTGCCAGGCTTGCAGGTAACAATCACCAAATATTTTTACTGTTTTGTTTCTTAATATGATTGGATTTCACATTATATGTAGCAATCCAACAACTATAGCAACAAAACAAGTTAATTTGCTTTCAACTTCCACTCCTCATAGTGGCCACATTCCCATGTACCTAAGTTCTTCAATTTGACAAAATAATAATACTCTGGTCCTGAGTGTCACCCTTTTATGACTCTTTTTTAATTAATCTTTTTCCTTAATCTCAGGGTCAAGTGAAAAGTTAAGTATTATTATTGTGATGAATCTTAAGGTCAAGTGATTAATTTGGTATTATTATTAATTTTTGCTGTCAATTAACAGGATTGAAAAGAAATGGGAAGAGCTGCAGATTGAGATGGGTGAATTATCTGAGACCAGACCTCAAGAGGGGTCAAATAACACCCCAAGAAGAGAGCATAATTCTAGAGCTGCATGCAAGGTGGGGAAACAGGTAAAATTTCAGTCCTCCATTCTCTTTAACTTTGCATGTTTCTATAGTTGGAAGCAACATACTTATTATTCCAAGGCCTAAACTGCAACATCAAAAACTTCAGGTGGTCAACAATTGCAAGAAGCTTGCCAGGGAGAACTGACAATGAGATAAAAAATTATTGGAGGACCCATTTCAAGAAAAAGGCCAAAAGTCCCTCTGATGCAGCAGAGAAGGCTAAAAATAGACTCTTGAGGAAGCAGCAATTTCATCAACAGCAAAAACAACAACAGTTGCTGCAGCAGCAGGAGGCACAACAGCAACAATTGCAATTCAACTTTGACATGAAGGGGATCATGGCCTTGCTTGAGGATAACAGCCATAGAGCACCTCACACATCTCAAGCTAGACAAGAAATGGTTAACATGCAACAAAACACCACAGAAGAGCAGGGATACTTGTACTCTATGCTCAATGGTAACACTTCTGCAACAGAGACCTTAGCAGAAGAAATTTTGTGGGATGGCCTGTGGAACTTAGATGATGTTCATGGGAATTTCAGTGTAGCTAGTGCTGCAAGCAAAGCTGGCCTTTACAATTTAGTTGCTCCCTTCTGTTAATGTTTTTGGTTAACTAAGCAAAGTACTCCTAGCTAATTTAAGTCATGGTTTCATAAGGCTCCAAAAAATAGGAGCTTTGGAGTTTGGATTAGTTATTGTTGCATAAGGTGTGTACTAAGGAGGTAGTAAATGATATTTTAGGTTAGTAAATGATATTCTGAAGGCAACTTATTTTGTAATCTGTCAGTAAAGTATCTCAATTTTGCTTATAAATCTAAAATCAACTTTGCTTTATTGGTTTGTTCATTGTTATTGATAACAAGCACTCTTGACAACTTTCCAGCGTCTAGGAAAGTAAGAAAGAAACCGGAAGAAACAAGAAATTGATAAACAGGACTTCCACCTTGTCATTGATCATTTACCCCAAAAGCTTACTAGAGCTAATAAGATATGTTAATAGTTTAGAGGATCTTGTTAATCAATAATTAACAAAATAATAATAATAAATTATTATTATAAATTATGTTGAGAATACATTAAAAATTATGATAGAAATGTATTAATAAATTTTTTAATAAAAATTTTAAATAATTTTTTTCCCCTAATACTCTTAAAATATTAGTGAGCATTTATTGTTATGTTAGATATTTCTAATATATCTCCTCAGGCATGGAGTCATTTGGTTTGAGGTGTGAACAATGAACATGTCTACTTATTATATGTCAAAGTTCCACTTTATGTTGGGAAAATAAGGGGCTGAAATTCAATTTTTTATTAAAAAATAATGGTTGATAAATATAGAATTGTAGATCATATGGTCATTCAGGCTTTAAATGTCATGTCATGAATAATTTATCCTTGAAGCTTAACATGTTAAGTGAAGGCACATGAATAATTTTATATTACAAATCTAACACTTTTACATAATCTTAACAATGATTCTCAGAATTTTTGCCTTACTTCTTACATTTGTCTGAACTAAACGAAGTGCAACCAAAAGATAACAAAATATACTGAAATTCCGTAAAGCACTTAAAGGAACTAATGTTGTTTCATTAGGATGGAAAAAGATATGTATTTAAATCGAAGCATGGCATTAGTGCATTAAGAAATCCCTTTAAGCATAGATTATGGGACACTTTTGGTGCTTGTACAACTCAATATAGTGTTCATATCTTTGTCGTCACATTCTTTTTGTTTGTTTAATCCACAGATAATAATACAAATGCTCTCTTATTATTATTATTTTCAATTGTTTTAAGTTAATCAAATGGGGTTTAGGCTTAAACTAAGACAGAACTGGATTCTTGAAACGTCAGATATCTCACACGATATCATTTTTAATTTCACAAATCATCTATATACATGTTGATTATGCTCTAAACTTATCAACATAAGTATCATGGATTCCGATATTCTGTAATAACTATATTTTAATAAGTATTAATATCTTCTTATTTGTATAATTACGATTAGGCTTTTAGTGCTACCAGCCACAAAATGAAGCACGTTTTGTGCATAATGTTGTGTAACGGTTTTGTTAAGAACTAATCTTAAAAATTTATCAGAAAACTCAAAAGGAAATCTAAACTTACACTTTTGCACCAAAAGGTGTTCAATTGATTAGATCAACTTGATAAATCTGACGAACCAAACTGCATTTATTAAATTAGTTTTGATTTTTCTTTTTACACAATCAAGTCTAATCAAATTGAACCAACTAAACTTAATTTCTATACGATTCGATTCCCAACTTTATATTTTAATAGTAAATAAATTTATCATGTGTATAGTTTTCAATCTATCTATCAATCTATATTCCAGTAATTTCTTAAAGTCCACTGATTGATGGTTTGATAATCAAGGATTTCTATCAGCATGGTTGACGAAACTTGAACTACATAATCATCAGGACTATAAACCAGTTTGATTTAATATACTTTGAACAAAAGAGAATAGTAATGTTGTGTTCCACTTAGAACCTAAAACGCTTGTCCATAATTTTTTATCATGATCAAAATTAAAACAAAAATTAAGTAATACAATTTTGAACTCACAATCTTTAACCTGATGTTCAGCTAATGTAGATTTGGCCCAGTTTACTCTGACCAAGTCCGGGTTTGAAGTGATTTTTAGGTCAATTTTCATGGCCTAAACGAAGAGCAAATTAAGCCCTAACTTGGGCTAAGACCAAAATAACAAATCCAATTCACATGCATAAATTTCCTTCTTTTTTAATATAATCTTTTGATTATTTTCCGATTACTTGTATACATTTTGTTTTTGTCAAACCCAATTCAGTAAGTAGTTAGATAATAAATAAAGAAAGTGATAGCTAAAATTATTGAGAGTTATATATATTAAAAATATAATTTAACTAACTGGTTCAAAATACTCACTTAGTGTAATATTTTGTACAATTAATTTTTAAAAATAAACTAGGTTCTATTGATAGGGGAAAAAAAGTGCAATTTATAATTTTTATCTCAAGAAAGAAAAATTCATAAATTATATATTTTTTTTTAAATAGCCAACTTTATTACAGTCAAGAACATATATTAATGTCATGAATACTATAGAAAGTGAGTCGGTTAGAAGATAGTCTGTTAAAAAGTTAATTAATAATGTTATAATTTTTATGTATATAAATTAAGTAATAGTTCATTTTGTACTCACTTTATTGCTACAAATAATACATTTTTTTTTATTAAATTCTCTCAATTTTTATTTGACTTTTCTTTTTCTTTTACTCAACCTTGTTTCTCAGCATGGTATCTTACTCCCAACATCCTTTATAACTCTTTGCTTCCGTTGTATCACATAGCTCCAAAAGTTCATTTTCTATCACTTTACTTCTTCTTTTTTTCTCGAGCATTTGTCATTCTTTTTCTCTCATTTTTTGCCTCTTGGGGGAGCTCATGTTCATTGATCTCAACTGTTTTTGTTCTTGGTTGGAGTTTGTTTATAAAGTATTTTTTTTTATTAGTCCTCTTCAGTTTGTTCATTGTCCACGGTTCACAATATCTGAATTGGTGGTGTTCTTCGGAGGGAATAAAACTCTTTTAAAGTACTCATGGCTAGAGATTTAAATTCTTTTATGGTAGACACAAGAATGGCATGCCTACAATCAATTTTCTTGTAGTTTGTTCAGTTCTTGATATTAATTTTCTTGATTCAAAAAAGAAAAGGTTATGCATCAAGTTGGTTTCCATCTCTTTATCTTCGATTTGACGTTTCTTTTATTCCAAGTGAGTTGGGGTTTACCCAGTGATTCTTGCACTTTGTTGTTGCCAGTTATGGGAGAAAACTCTAATTTTTTCTCATTCAGTTTATTATATATATGTATATTTGTTCGAATTAATCATAATAATTGGAAAGAAATGTGAAAACCAATTTTTGCCTTTCCGAGGTTGCCTCTAAATTTAAAAAATATATTAAAAAATAAAATAAAATTATTTTACAAATAATAAAAAAAAAATTTAAAAAAAGAGATTGGTTTCTTGAAATGGTAGTCCTGCACTATACAGGCTTATATTTCAATTTTATAAGTAGAGTAATATAAATATAATATATATATATATATATATATATATATATATTTATTTATTTATTTGTGTGTGTAAACTTTCCATAATAATTTTTAGATTTTTTTTGTTTGTATCTATTTCATTTATTTATTTTTAGCTTTGTTCTTTAGCATTATTCTTTTTTACTATTTTGTACAAATTTAGAATGTAATTTAATTTTATATTCATATTTTCATTTCTATTGTTTTATGGATATAAATTACATTTTAAATTTATTTTATGATAAATGAATAAATAATACATGTTTGTATTGATTTATAACATTAACATGTAGCTTCTCTATCATCATGTGTTATAAATTGATAAAATCTACATTACTGAATCTTTAGATAATATTAATTTATTATAAGTTATTTTTAATTAATAAAAAATTATCCTAATAATTAATTAAGACGTATTTTTTCTCTAATTACTATTTTACTAATCATCAATTTACATCAAAATATTTCTATACAACGATTTATAATGCTAATGTATAACGACTTTACCTTCCTGTGTTGTAAATTATAAAAATTTATATATACCAATGTTACCTTATGTTTTATACATTATCAATTTATATAAAAATTAAATTTAACTTATAAAATTAATCAATTACATGATTGCTTTTAGTTAATTAAAATGTATCATCTAATTAAAAATATTTCTCTGTTTTCTATTATAAAAAATAATTCATTTATTTAATTAAACTAAAATACTTTTATTATTTTAATGCAATAATTTATAGTGTTATTATACAATGTCTCTACTTTTATACGCTTTAAATAGTAAAAACTTTTGTGTAACAAAGTTACCTTGAATCTGATGTAATATAAATTTATCAAATGAAATTTTAATCCTTATATTAAATAAATACTTTCTTTAATCAATTCAAATATATTTATTCCTTTCATTAAATTAAATTAATTTTATATTTTAAATTTTCTTAAAACACATTTCTAACTTTGATTAATTAAATATCTAAATACTTAATTTTTTCATTTTATTATACAATTTTTACAATATATATGTGTAATTTATATTGCCTTCAGATGTCTAATAAATTATAAAAGATTTATATATAACTTACGTTATCTTAAACTATATTTCAACATGAATATAATTCAGATATAAATTCAAATATTTCATTTATAAATAAAAATATTTTTTAATGATTTGTAATATAGTTGTGCGATCTCCCTTCGCTTTCTATATTGTTTATCATAGGATGTATGTATAACCGTGTTATCTTGTATCCTAAATATTATAATTTTATCATAATAATTTTAATCTCAAAATAAACTTTCTTAATTTTAATCAACTAACTTCATATATTTTATGATAGACCTGCGTGATTTTGAGTTTTTCATTGCACTTGGAAACATGTAAGAGTAGAAATTGAACCCGTCAAGTCAAAATAACTTTCAAAAATAATTTTTCTCATTCCTAAGATACCTATTTGTCTTCTTTTAAAATAAAATAAAAATAATTATT